CTCTCTCTCTCTCTCTCTCTCTCTCTCTCTCTCTCTCTCTCTCTCTCTCTCTCTTGTGTGTGTGTGTGTGCGCTATTAGTCTCATTGCTTTGGCTACCTTAGGGCTGCGTTCCCCGCGCCCACGCGGTAGACAGTAAAAGAAAACAAAAAGAACTGTGACTTGTATGGGCGTTAGGGTAGGGCTCGTGACAGATTGGCCTGAAGATGGTCATTTTTTGAAAGACCGGGAGAGGGCTTTTGAAAATAGGGCGGTGACAGGCAGGAGGGGCATTCCACTTCGAACATCCTTTTGGACCGGGTTCCTCTGACAACTTTCGAGACCATTCCTCGAAATCCGGTTTCTAAAGACTAGTGCGAGCAAGGGCACCTCCATTTCCCTCGTTTAGAAAGGCTGTGTGGCGAGTCCCTTAGTGCAGCTATGAAAAATTATCCCAATTCGGAGAGTGGAGATTAGTACAGCCAGACCCAAGGCTCTGACATCCTAGAGACGTTTTCACATTCGTGATCTGGGAAACGAGAGAAGGGCGCAATATCACGGCGTTCATGCTTTCCAGGCAAAATCGTAGGGCCTGCTTGCACCACTCACCAGCTGCCAAGATTTTGAACGCATCGGGACAGAATATCATCCAGATGCATTCTTGATGCATTCTTAATGTTGGCGAATGGCGAGTGGTGCAACTGCCGATAGGCCAGTATCACCTTTGGGACGTGCCCCTGAGGATGAGGCCTCCACGAAAACACTCAGAAAACGCCTCCACGGCTCGAAAAACGTGGGCAGAAAGCCGAGAGCAGCCTTGCCAACCTTGAGCGATTCCACGCAGCAGACAGTCGGGTGTTGGTCTTGGGAGCATCAGGTCAAAATTATTGAACGCCGGGATCAATTAATTTTTTTGAAATCGACGTGCGCCAGCGAACAACCTGTGAATTCTCCCTACCCGGAGCAAAGGCACCCCCACGCCCTACCGGAGCAAAATGGCTGTTGCGGCCGGGGGCTCGGTCCCAGTTGCAATTTCGTTGTAGGAGGCTACCACGAAGAGGATGACGGGCGCCTGAGGACCATGGATTGACACAATCCAATCCATGGTCCCTACCGTCTTCGCCCGAGCAAAACTTACGGTCATTTGCGCTGCATCAGGACTGCAAGGTGGTCCAAATACGGCTACAATGACCGTACGTTCTATTCGGGGGAAGACAGTAGACGCCCGCCGGTCGCTTCAATGTAGCCTCCACCAACGGCAAAGCGCAGGTGGGCCCGAGCCCCGGCGGGTAGTGTCCTCATCGGCGTCTACAGTCAGCGGAGAATCGATGTTGGGCCATGTTCGACATCCCCGCCGCTTTTCTGCTGTCTTTGTTCATGTTGGCGTCATCTTCAACATCCCCGCCGCTTTTCTGCTGTCTTTGTTCACCGCACCCGGTGCAAGGTCCCACTTGCGCAAATAGGGAGATTTTGGCCGTTGATCTTTGCTATCTACGGTCAGTATCTTTTAACTCGTGCAAGTGGGACCTAGCCCCGGACACGTCTGACGAGGTAGATAATTAGTGCGAAACCACGTGGCATTCTCCCCGGTATTGGTATTCGTATCCATATTGGCAATCAAGGAACATGAGTATTGTGGGCAGAATGCGGCGATCATCTTGCAGAGTCCACAGACAGCTCTTTGGAATCCTGCCAGCATCATCTACACCCTGTATCGAGCGAGGAGCATCCGGATGTGACGGGAGAATGACACGTGGCATCCGATGCTGCGGGGAGGTTACACTTCCCCTCCGCAGTAGTACCACTCTTTGTTCAAGGCTCCTCTCCTCCAACACCACCAAGCTGTACGGAGGCCCCCAACCTGAAGGCATTAATCAACAACTGCCGGCAAATGAATTCTTACCGGCGCCTTCTGCCTCCTCCCTCCACCGTCTCCTCGCCTCCTCCTCCTCCTCCTCCTCCTCCTCCTCCTCCTCCTCTTCTTCTTCTTCTTCTTCGTCTTCGTCTTCTTTCACGAGGCCTTCCTCACGACCATCGTTGTTCTGTCCTGCTAGATGTAGAGATAGCGGGACTTTCGACGGAGGTGTGGTAGTACTGCGTGCCCTGAAGGCGGCATGGTCGCTCCCGCTGACCTCAAGGTTGCATGGATATGGCGGCTGTGATGGAGGATCGCAGATCCTCTCATCTTCTTCCTCCTCCCCCTTGCATCCACGTTTGACGTGCAGTCTGTTTGGAACCGACTGGCATTGCCAATCTGTCTCTTGCTCGACTGGTTCTCCGTCGTCGATGCGGTTTTTTTGGTCCTCTTCCCCTGCTCAATCAGTCTCCAATTCCCTCTCACCACCATTCTCATTCCGGTCGACCTCCTCCTCCTCCTCCTCCTCCTCCTCTACTTCCTCGTTATCTTCGTCGCCTCTGTCATCGTCAACAGGGTGCTCAACGACATCGCCGCCTGCTCACGGGGCCAGCTCGAGTGCTCCCCCCTCCTCCTCCATTCTAGAGGACTCTTCAGCTTTGGTCATGAGTGACGAGGAGTTGAAGGCCATTCTGCACCAGGCGAGCGTCGTCGATCTAAGGAAGAAGCTGGACTCCATAGCTAGACCTTGCATCTCGCTCACCGAGCTGCGTTCCCTCTGTGTTGAGTGCGAAGCCGCTGCCTCGGAGACGGAGGCTGCCGCCGTGATCGAGGCTCTCGTCAAGTCGGGATCTGTGTTCATTTTTCGCGGGAAAGTCTTGACCAGACCCCTTGAATTGGCCGAGAAGATTGGGATGGTGGTCCCGGAGATTGCCGACGGCGCCAATGTGGAGGAAAAGGAAACGGAGAAGATCGAGGCGGAGCTTCAGGAGCTGCGCAAGCTTAAGGACGACATAGATTATGCCGCCTACAGGCATACCCGACGATGGCTCTGGACCGGCTTGGCGGTCGTTTCCGCTCAGTGGGTCGTCTTCTTCCGACTAACTTATTGGGAACTCTCTTGGGATGTGATGGAACCAGCGGCGTTCTTCTGCACGCTGGGCACCGCTATCTTAGGATACACCTATTTCTTGTTGACGTCATCGAATCCCAGTTACGAGAACGTGATGAAACGGATCTTCTATGGGAGACAGAGGAAAATGCTGAGGCGCAAAAACTTCGACGTAGATCGGTATTTGGTCCTCACGGCGCAGCTGGAGAGCAGGAAGCCTGT